CAGATTTAACCCTTAAAAAGTTTTTGGAAGAAACACTATAATATACTTTCCTGTGTGGGGTTAAATGAGAAATCCTGGTTAAGTGGAAATTCCAGATCTGCCTGGAAGAAAGTGTGGTCTAAAAATACACAGGAAAGAGACTTTGAAGTCAGTTAACCAACGTGAGTTACAACCATCCCTCAGGAATGAACTGAGTTTGTAATTCAAGGGTCCACTGTATCATCTCCCAATACTCCCAATTTCCCCAAAGCTGATCCATGATGCATCTATTGGGATGAAAATAAAAGCCAAACAGTTCAATTACAGAATTATATGAAGCAATAAAGGATGAAACAAATAAAAAATTAGATCAATAAGGTGCTTGGCAAGCTCAAAGATGACTTAATAAACACAATGACCAGAGAGTTTAAAGAATACATTAAGAATGTTGAGGTTGTAGTATGGCTACTGTTGGGTGCTTTTAGCCAGATCTACGTTGAGAATCAAGAGCAAAGAGCCCACAGAATGATTTAAAAGTTTTGAGTTTGGCCAGAAAGGAAGCTCCAATAAAGGTATGGACTACAAAATTAGAGCAGAAGAAATCTTGATTGCTGAGAAGGAACAGAATAGAAAAGATGGCCTGAGGGCATCACACGAAGCAGGACTCCCACCCCTTCACAGCTTTAGAATTGCAAAAGTTTAAGAATTTGCTTTGAGACGGAAGCCCCATAGCACCATGTTGCACAAAGGAGATGGCCTAGAGAATTTGTTCCTTAGAATTAGATGCAGAGGGCTCAGTGATCCAGGCACTCAATCCCCACAGCTAAGACAAAGACTATTACTGCTTCCCCTGGTAGCAGACCTTGGCATCATCCACGTGGTGCTGGTTTTAGATGCATGCAGAATGAAAAGAGTTGTGGGATCAGGAAGTCTTCTACTCAGATTTCAGAAGGTGGCCTCAGAGGCCAGGCAGTGAGCCTCTGAGAGGCAGTGTGTGAAGCTGTGAGTGTGAAGCCAAAGGTACAGTGGAGACCCAGAAGTTTGGAAAAACTAGAAGCATGGATCATGTGAGAAAAACTGCAGAGGGAGTAGAGGTGGCCCAAGAGAGTAGTCTTGGGAGTTATAATCACAAGAAGTACCTTTGGGGCAGAGCCACCCAAGTCATTTGGAGGCTACAAATAGCCACAGATTGCCAGAGCTGCTGGAAGTGGAACTGTGGGATTTGTCATGCTGGATTTTGGACTTGCTTTGGTCCCATTCCTTTGTATTCCCCTTTTTGTAACCTTTGGAATAGAAATGTCTGTCTCGTTCTATTGAATGCTGGAAGTGTTTAACTTTCTTTTCATTTGCACAGGGGCTTACAGCTAAGAATTTACCTTAAATCTCAGAGGTGACTTTGGATTTGGATTTTTTCAGCAATGCTGAAACTGTTAGGACTTTGGAAACTTAGATACAGAGTAAATGCCTTTTGTGTAAAGGAATATACATGAGTCTTTAGGGGGCCAAGGACAGGGACAGAATGTTATGGCTTGGGTCTAGCTGTCCTCCTAAAGCCTCATGTGGTCATAGGTGGCTGAATCTACAGTATGTGATGCTAGGATTAAGGGTATGTGGTTACTAAAACTACTATGTGTGAGTGATTGGTTTGGCACTACCCTAATCCTGCTGGTCTGAATAAGATAAAAAGGGTGGAAAAACACTATTAGGGTCCCTTGTTTTTGCTCTTTTCCCACCATGAACTGTTGACCCTGCCATATGCCAACCTGCTTTGGAGCCAGTCAATTATGGACTGAAAGAAACCTCTATGAACTATAAGCCAAAGAACCCTTTCCCCTGGGAAAAAAAAGAACACAGTAATAAACTAGCTGAGCTAAAAAAAAAAAAAAAAAAAAAAAAAACAACAGAAAAAAAAAAAAAAAAAAAAAAAAAAAAAGCAAAACATGAATGATCAATTTAGCAAAGAATTAGAGTTCATGAAAAGGTACCAAATAGAAATTCAGGAATATAAATATTCCACAGAAAGTGTGGGCAGCATAAGTGATCAGTGTGAGGAGATAGTGTCAGAACTAGAAGATAAAGCAGAGGTAGGTTACAATATATTCAGAGATATCTTAAACCAAAAGATTATGGAAAAAGGACCCAATAGCTGCTGGATGGCACAAAGAAGACAAGTCTAAGATTAAATGGAATTAGTGAAAAATCAGAAGATGGCAGGAAAATACCCTTTCAAGGTAGCACAGGAAAGACTGAGATGGCAGCCTGACTGAAAGCAGGATAAAGGTTTATTATTTTTTAAGGGATGGTCTTTTAAAATTAGACTGTGGACTTGGAAGAAGAAATGGGTAGAGAGGATGCCAGATGCAAAGAGAATTTTTCATAGTTTTATAATAGGTGTGCAGATATGGAGTCAAGTCCTGAATGGAGTCTTACCTTGGGCAAGAGGAAGGGGATGGAGAAAAATGTTGGGGATTGACATTGTTAAAAAAGAGGGAGGCCGGGTGTGGTGGCGCATGCCTGTAATCCCAGCACTCAGGAGGCTGAGGCAGGAGGATCGCTGTGAGTTCGAGCCCAGCCTGTGAGTTCCAGGTCAGTCTCAACTACATAGTGAGACCCTGTCTCAAAAAAACAAAAAAAAAAATAAGAGGGAGACTGAGACTGTGTCATGAGGCCTAAATCTTCTTGATGAAGTGGGAGGCAGGGTACAACTACCTGCTCACAGTTGAAGGCAAGGGTCTCACCAGGCTCATGCAAAGTAGCAAAGCTAATGAGGTAGAAATGTCATTTATAGATAAATGGAATGATGGTTACATTTCAGATGAATTTAGCCTAATATTATAAATTTGTATACCAACACTTAGTAAGTCAGAAGCAAACAGAAAGAAAACAAATGGCATTATATCAGTCACTGCTAAATAGGTCTACAAAGTACCAAAAAATTGGGTGGCTTAAAAGAGTAACAGTTCTGGAGGTTAAAAGTCAGAAATCACAGTTGATGGGACCATGCTCTTTCTGAAGGCTCTAGGGGAGCTTTTAGCTTTGGGTGTTCCCTGGCCAGCCTGATGTCACTTAGCTTATAGACACTTCCCTCCAGTCGTAAGGTCATCCCGTCCCTGTGTCTTCACAATGTCTTCCTTCTGTGTCTGTGTGCCCACATTGCTTTTAAGGGAATACCAGTCATGCTGGATTAGCGCTAACTCTAGTGTTCTAAATTTTAATACCTCAACAAAAGATTTTCTTTCCAAGTGATGTCAGATTCTAAGGCACTGATGCTTCAAAATTCCTCTTTCAGGGAATACAATTAAACCCATGCCAGGTCTAAGGATATAGGATCAAGGATAGCACATGCACCTGGTTAAAGGGAGGAAAAAATGAAAGATGCCAATGAGAACATCAGTGGGAAGGTTGACCCTGGGGTCTGAGAAGGGAAGGAGGCAAATAGGGTCTGACTTCTAGAGATCAGAGTCAGACTGACAGGGTAAGGGTGAACGGTTTGCAGGTGGGGAGTCATGGGGATGGTTCAGCAAGTTTCATAGGAAGAAAAGACTGGAGGACGGGGCTTTATCAGTGCTACAAGGCTGGAGGTCCGGCGGGGACTGTGGCAGGTCAGCTAGCAGGAGGGGAATCCCCCAGAGGTCAGGGTGCTGACAGCAGCTTCTCCACTGCATGGAAGAAGTACAGAGGCAATGTCAGGTAACAGGATGGAAGATGACTGTAATGACAGGTCACAGTCCTCAAGGAAGGTAAGGGAGCATTCCATAGCTTAGGAGCCAGGAGCTTAGGAAGAGTGTAACAGAACTGGAAGAGAAATACTCCAAGAGTTGCTAGAAGCAATGGTGGCACAAATTTGGAAGGAATCTGAGCAGTGGGGTCAGGTAAGCTCCTGTTGAGGCAGAGGCACAATGGCAAAAGGTCCTCTTTTGTTGAGGACTTGGAATAAATCGTAATAGGGACACAGGGGGAGTGTTATGACTTGTGTCTAGATGTCCTTCTAAAGTCTCATATGGTCATAGGCAGGACTTTTCAGAGGTGGCTGGATCAAGGATATGATACTGGGACAGATTCACCTGTGAGGTGCTAGGATTAAGGGTGTGAATGCTATCCCCTCTAAGGTCAGGTAGCCTGGATAAGATATAAGGGACAAAAAGAGCTTTTGCTTGTCTCTTGTTGCCTCCTGCTTGCCCTGCTTTGCCATGGACTGTTTCTTCTCTGCAATGTCCCTCTGCCATGCCTACTTTAGAGCCAGCTGCCTATGAACTGAAACCTCTACAAGCTGTTAGCCAAATAAACTTCTTCCTTTAATTCTGGGTGTCGGGTATTTTGTTTCAGCAATAAGAGAAGTAACAAAGACAGGGAGGAAAAATGAAAGCAAAATTATGAGTCAAAGAATTAACCAGATGGTTTATGCTGTGATAGTCCTTCATTTATTGAGCAGAACTTACTTTTATTTTGAATCTCCTTCTCCATGTAACAAGGTGGTAGCTGAAAAACCCTGCTCTTGATAAACCAAAATGTTAGTACTGATCTTTATCAGGGCCCTCTGCCTAAGCCAGTCAGCACAGTAGTCTGCAAAGTCCATGCTGACACAGCCTGCAGGTACAGATAGATGGAAGGCAGGGCAGAGGCAGCCAGTGCAGGGGAGGTACTTTGCTTCACATCCTTCTTCACAACATGGGGCTGCTTGCAGTGTTGACACACAATAAGCCCTCAATAAATGTGAGTGGTGACTGTTAAAAATGTGTTGTGCAGAATCACAGTAATGATAACGGTAGTAAGACTCATTCTCTCTCCCTCCTTTCCCCAAAGATAAACGTTCTGGGATTATTTCAGTGTATTCTTTATTTCTGCAGATTCCTGATAAAAGCACAATCTTGAATAAAAGCACACCATTGTACTTAAAGGCAACATTACACAGCAAGCAAAAGCTGCCCCCCGATCCTGTCACAGAAGGAAACCTCAGGAAGAAGTCCCTACCTCCTGGCAGTTTGATGGTTATTCACATCAGCTACACCTTTGGAGCTCAATCCCATCCCTCATTTTCACCAACTTCTTTCACTGAAATGTGTGTTCACAAATTGCATGTGTGTGTGCATGTACACAGAAGGCCATTGGCAGGTGTAGCAATGATGCTCTGGAAAAGTGACCCCAACACGATGAAGCAGCTACAGCAAGAGGGTTTTACAGCAGGGGCCAGAACTCTCCTCAGGAGCCTGTACATTCTAACAATGTCACTGGGGTTGCCTAAAATTAGAAGTCCAGTGGGGTCTTGGTCTTGAGGTCACTCTTGTCGTGGGCTTCCCCGCAAGCAGAAACACAGGGGCAATCCGTGATGGGAAGGAGGATGTAGGAATGTGAGCACCATGGCCAGCTGGCAGGGAGGCTTCACTATTGAGGAGACTTGGACACAGCGCATCAGACCTGCAGTTCACCTGGGGCCTACATGCCTGGTCTGGTGACAGATACAACATTCAAAAGACTGTGCTTCTCCTACCATTCTCACCAAGTGCTGGGAACTTTCCATACTCACAATTGATTCCTATGTCAAGCATGTGATGGGAGCCTCAAGAGTTCCCTGTAAAGGTAATTAGCTGGTGGCTTCGGTCCAACCATTTGCCACTTGCATAGCTCACTGTCCCTTCTTTGCATCTGGATGGGCAGTCACAGCATCTTGATATGTAGCATAGTGTGGCTTTTAGACCATGTATGCCTGTTTTAAGAAAAGCCAGAGAGAAGAGTTTGAGGCTCCACTTGTCCCTGCTGAGCACTGCAGTGGCCTTGGGAGGTCCTTGTGTAGGCCTGGCCTGGAAGCGTTAGGCTGCTGCCTTAGCTGCCTTAGCTTCCTTAGCTGCTTTTCGGGCCTGGTACTCCTGCTTCGCTTTCTCCCTGTGCTCCTGCTCCTTCTGTATTAACTGCACCAGCTCCAAGTGCCACTCCTGCAGTTTTTGGTCATAGGTAGCAAGGTCTTCAGGCTCACAGGTGGGGAGCTTCTCCTTGACAAGCTGGGTGGTCAGAGTCAAAAGGCTTTCTGACTCAACTCTGCCAAGAGCCTGCAGCTTAGATTGACAGACCTGTTTGAAATGGAGAGAGGAGAAAGAAGAGGACAGGGAGAGAGAAAGGGGGAAGAGGTTGAGCAGAAAAGAGAAGCAACTTAGTCACTTGCAAAACAGTCCCACACTTTGCTTGCAGGAAAAGCTCTTTGTTGGGATGCTGGCACATGGTTCTTCATCCAGGCTCTGCTCCCTTCTGCCATTTTTCTCCTCAGCTTAGAAGTTTGCCTAAGATGCCTGACATGTGATTTCTCCTCACTGACTCACAAATGGTAAATGGAACTCTATATGCTAGGATTCCTTGTGTCTTGTTTAAAAAACAAACAAATAAAACAAAACAAAACAAAAACCATAAAGATGGCACAGGTGTAACACATGAATGTTTCCACACTGACCTATTCCAATTGAAGCAGCCAATTCCATGAGCCAGAATTCTAAGGTGCAAACAAAATGGCAGAGACATCTGATAGACTGGAATAAGCCTGTTCTTATCTTTCCCTTCAAAGCACCATGGTAAATGCCCTGCCAGAGCAATCTTTTCAGCAGATGGAAATCATTAAGGATTTCTCACTAATGGCATGCTAAACAGGTCCCAGGAACACTTGCACTATTAGAAGCTTCCACCTGCTGTGCCCCCCTGCAGGCAGCCTTTCCATCCTGCCTGCTTACATCTCCATCCCAATGGCAGCTTGGTTTGGTCAGTGATGTATTCCTGGAGAAGTAAAGTATTAAAATGTTAATCTATTTAAGTGCTTCAAGATGTAGATCATCACAGCAGCCACTTATGGTCCCAGCTGCTGCTTATACTGCACATTCCCACGTTCCACAAGCCAATGCTCTGGAGCAAGAGCTGTGCCTTTACTAATATTAAAGAAGGTGGGAGGCAGACAAGGTCCGTGGGTTCCAAGGCATGAATTGGAGGTGTAGTGTGATGGGTCAGTCATACAGTGGGTCCCCCAAAATCTCAGACTAATACAAATCAAGCAATAGGAAGAAAGGATATTAACATGAAAATTATTTCTTCCTGATACCACTCTCCATATGGTTTGGGGCCAAGGAGACAGCCTGGGTCTCAGCATAAGGTCTCAGCTCTGACTCAGAAACTTGTCCAAATCTCAATTCAGTTGCTCACAGGCAAGTATCAGCTTTGACATCATGTGTCCCAAGGAGTCTGCCATCCAGTTTGTGAGAATAAAGGAAGTACAAGGGTGCCTAACACAGCGAGCAGACATCTGCTAATTTCTACATGTAAGTGTGGAAAATGAAGGTTCCATGGCTTGAGTACTTAATGCAGGCACAGATTTCTATCCTGTGAGATTAAATATATAAAGTAGTAGAAAGAAGTGATAATTGTTAGGAGTTGGGCAACAACCTTGGTCCACATGAATGTTATGACGAAAATCTATGGGGCTAAGTCGGTTTTTTTTTTTTTTTTTTTTTTAAGTAAGC